AAAACAGTTTGAGAGGTATTTTAGAATCTGAGAATCCGGTTCAGGCAGTATTTGAATCTGAGCAAAATACTTCATTTCTTTTGATTCATGGAATTAATTTAAATTTAGCCTTGAGTATATGTGTACTCAAGAGAGCTGTGCTTTTCAGGTTGATAAAACGGTGTGTGAATGTAAAGGTGTCATGTTCTTTATCCCTTTGTCAGGTGACGGCCATTTAGGCAGATTCTGTTTTCTTGCTGCCCTGAAAAGCACAGTGACAAACTTGGATGTCCACGTGTCATAGTAGTGAGATGCAGAGAGTGCTTTGGAGTAACGTGGCTGTCCTTCTCCTCTAGTTCTTTGAGAAGCCGCCACATTGATTGCCATAGTGGCTGCTCTAGTTGATACTCCTAACAACAGCGTCTAGTCCCTCTGCTACCTGAAGCAGCTCAGCCTAACCTGAGGAAGAACTGCGATTCTCTTTGCTTCAAGACGTCAGTCATTGGTGTCAACTAACTGTTGGGTTAGTTTTTTCCTGAGAGGCTAAAGGGACTGGAGCTTGAAACGATAGTGTAGATTTCCTTGGTGTGGTAACCTGCCTAAACAGTTTAAAGTTGACAGCTTTTTCTGGATACTTCCAAATGACTGTTTTTCTTTTTCTCTTTTCGTGGGGATACCAGTCTTTCTACTTCAAATTTCTGTTGAGGGGCTGGAGATAGGTGGTTGAGGACACTTTACCTGCTGCTCTTGCAGAGGGCCTGGGTTCTGTTCCTAGCACCTGTCAGGCAGCTCACAACTCCTTGTAGACCCATTTTTAGGGGATCTCTCCCTTACCCTCTTCTGGCCTCTGCATACACTTTGGAGCACATATTCACATAAAATAAAATAAATCTCAAAAATTACATTTCGTGTAAATGAAATGTGTTTCTGGTATCCCCAAGAATCATATTTTTAAAAGTTAAGCATTAGAGTATTGCCTTAATGTAAAGTGTAAACCAGGTAAAATATTTTGGATTTATAGGTAAGCAAGTCCGTAAGCTTAAAAAAAGCTTAAACATGTCCAGAAGACAATAAGATATTGACATTTTACAGTACATTTTGGATCACTCTTGAAGTGTGCCTGAATTCCCACTCTGGTCTTTCCCTTTCTCTCTTGACACAGGCAGTTGTATCTTTTTGTTGCTTCATCTCCCCCCACCCCATGCTTCTATTTAATACATGTTTACAGTTGTAAATAACTTCTATTTTATACCTTTAAACTTAAGGTTTTTTTTTTTTTAATTTTTTCAGGAGTTTGACTATGGTTTTCATAAGCATAATTTTTCATACTTTTCTTTCACTTTTATTCTGTTATGACAGTAAGCCTCTTGAGTTTTTAATATCTATTTTATTTTTAAATATGTGTCGGGGTGCATGAGTATGAGCATGTGGAGTCCAAAAGGGGCATTTTATCCCGTTACTGGAATTAAAGGCAACTGTGAGCTGCCTGACATAGGTGCTGAGGTCTAAACTCGGGTCCTCTGGAAAAGCAGTAAGCAGTGTGAGTGCCTCAGTCATCTCTTCGGCTCTAAATTTATTCTTGATACATCATTCAAAAGTTCTTTTTTTCTGTCTCGTTCTGTTTTGGATTTCCAATTAAGTACATCTCTTGGCATATTCCCACAGATCATTTTTTTTTTTTCATTTGCAAAAGGCCTACCTTTTTTTTTTTTATAACAGGGTAATAATCGTATATGTTTTCAACATCATGAATCTTCATTTCCTGTTTGCTATAAATATTTCAAAAACTAGATGCTATATTTTTGAGATCTAGAGTTCTCTTAGGTTCTCATTCTGTTGAGATCTCTCATACTTATTTACTATAACAATATTCTCCTTTATATACTTGTAATAGTTGCATTAAATTTTTTTTTATCAGCTGGCTATACCCCCACACACCTGTAATTTCAGTACTCAGGAAGTGGAGGCAGGAGTTCTCAGGTGCTTAAGGCCATGCAAAGCATGATTTGAAGTCAGCCTGGGCTACAGAATAACTTCTCTCGAAGAGCAAAAGTAAACCTTGCCTTGTCCCTGATTTCACTGGGATTGATTTAAGTTTCTCCCCGTTTAGTTTGATGTTGGCTATAGACTTGCTGTATATTGTCTTTACTATGTTTAGGTATGTGTCTTGTATCCCTGCTCTCTCCAAGACTTTAAAGTCCTGGAGCGGACAGGTTCTCCACAAGGAAAGCAACAGAACCAAGAAATCTGGGCACAGGGGTCTTTTCTGAGACTGATACTCCACAAACAAGGACCATGCATGGAGAAAACCTAGAACCCCTGCACGGATGTAGCCCATGGCAACCCAGTGTCCAAGTGGTCCCTAGTAATGGGAATAGGAACTGCCTCTGACATGAACTCAGTGGCTGGCTCTTTGATCATCTCCCCCTGAGGGGGCAGCATCCATACCAGGCCACAGAGGAAGACAATGCAGCCACTCCTGATGAGACCGGGAAGGGGAGGAGGACCTCCCCTATCAGTGGACTTGGGGAGGGGCATGGGAAGAGATGAGAGAGGGGACTACAGCTGGGATACAAAGTGAATAAACTGTGATTAATAAAAAAAAATTAAAAATTAAAAAAAGAGCAAAAAGAAAGAAGGTATTTTCCCCCTGTTGTTTGAATCACATTTTTGTTCATTAGTCTCATTTTGATCACCCCCAATGTAAATGTTTTTAACACTGTAAGCAATACATTGTTAAAATATTTGTTTTACTACAAGCATTGATTTCACTTTACCAACTTGCCAGAACTGGAATTCCAAACTCCATGTACGCTTTGACAAGCAGCAGATGAAGCATCTCCTGTATTCCTAATCAGGCAGCTCATCTCCGTCCTGAGCATGTGTGGCTAACTTGCTGCCAGTGGTGCCCTTCTGTGGCCTTCTTATGCTCTCTGGGATTTCCTTCTCCTCCCAAATTGTCTCCTGATGCCTCATTGGCAGAGCAGGTGGCTGTTCAGATTCTAGTTCTCTCAGCACCAAAGAGATTCTCCATAACACAGAAAAATGGAAAAATGTAGAGTCTAATTGGCTGCTGCCTCCTAAGTATACTGACTGAATAGACTTGAATCCTTTGTCAGAAACCAGTGAGTCATGTTTGAAAGGTTGATATCTGGACCTCATTTTTATTGCTGTTAGTGTGATATGTGTATTCTCAAGCTGATACTGTACTGTTTTATTTACTGTAGTTTTGTAGTGAATTTGAAAATTGGTGTCTTCCAAATTTTGCTGAGGTTTCTTCTGCCTATTCAAGGTCCCTTTATATTAATGTGAGCTTAATTTAACTTTTTCCGTTTCTTAATTGAGTAACTTCCTTAGCATGCTCTTTTAGACAGTCCCCCCTTTCTTAACTTATGTTGGCACACAGGCCTTATTTGTAAGAGCTGTACTTTGCTTACCTTATTTCTGTTACTTCTGTATAATCCATAGTTTTAATAAACTTTCTCCTCTTCAAGTAGAAATAGCCTGTTCCTAGTGTTTTTCTTTAGCCAGTGATGTCTGTGTGGAAATTTTTTTAGTGTGCTGTTTATTGACATGCTCAAAAGCTTTACAGTTTTTAATCATAAATGTGTTTTGTCTGCCAGGAGACACAGCAGTATTTAGAGACATTTTTGATTGGAGGATGGGTGCTACTAGCATTTAGAGCACTGGTTAGCACTAGCATTTAGAGCTCTGGCCTCTGGTTAGAGGCCAGAGACTTCTAAACACCCAACAATATAAAAAAGCTCCTACTCAAATTACCCAAAAAACTTCAGTTATGCCCAAATTGAGAAACACTGTTTAGTAGCTCAAACCTAGAAGCAGAGTTGATGAAGCCTACGGTATATGGCATTTTATGAGACAGATTTTGGTAAAGTATGGAGAAAACACTTCTCTGTAAGGAGAATGTATGGCATTAAAAGCAAAGTTCTTTCAGTGATGTTGACAAGTGGAGCAGTTGGGAACAACTCAGATGTCTTTTCCAGGTTGAGTAGCAGCAGCTTAACTAGAGCATTTACTCCCCATGTGGATCACCAGATCCTTAGCTGTCAACTGCCCGCCTCCCTTTAGAGGAAGACTTTATTACAGAAGAGATTGCAGGGAGTGACGGCATACTAGGCCAACCACTAAAAGCAAAATTACACCATTAAACATAAAGTTATTCTTTACAATGATGAACGTGAACTATTAAAAGGTTTAAAACATTCGTGTAGTGACTAAAATGTTTAGGTGAAGACAGAGTGTAAATGCACGTTTTTTTCTGCACCCCAGGTCCCAAAATAATAACTATAAGGCTTAAATATATTTTCAAAAGCCTATGCTGATATAGTTAGGCATGTTCCCTGACTTACTCATAACTAATATCCTGTTTATTTTGTTCTTAGTTCTGCCATGTGGATCTCAGGTTCATACGTCCATCTTCTTCAGAATCCCGGGGAAAATTCCCCCACCTCTGTGTCCCAGAATTCTCCCCTCTTTTCTCCACAACTCCCACCTCTTTATTTCCTGCCTCAGCTAACAGGCCTTTAGCCTTTTCTTGACAGGTGATGCTTCCACACAGACATAAGAGGTTCATTCTACAAGATAGAAATAGCCATCTTCCTGGATTGTGAGGCCTACTTTTGAGCTTTTAGAACGTGTAGTTTTCTTCTGTAAACCTGGTGAAAAGTTACAGTCCCAGAAACGTGTGTACTTAGGTACGCAGGGTTTTGTACATGGTCCTAGCTGGTCGTGATGCACACTTCCAAAGCAGGCCTCTACCACCGGTTTGCAGATTAAAGACTTTCCTAAATGTCTATAAAAACTTTCAGAATGCTAAAAATATGATCTACTTGAAATCATGTCTGAAGACTCCAACCATGTATTTTATCTTTTTAATCAAATGCAAAAAAATTTCGTGATGGAACTCAACTGGTGACCTTGGAAGTAGAAATGTTTACTCCACGGCTCAGTGAGCATGGAATGTTTTAAATCTCTAACCTTTCTTCCTGTCTCTTTCCTAGACATATGCAGCAGTGTTGTGGCAACAAGCAAAGGACAGCAGACAAAGTTCAACAGGAGAAGCATGTTTTGGCACCTCTCTCCCAGAAGAAAAACTTAATGACTTTCGTGATGAGCAAATTGTACAGTTGCAAGAGCTGATGCAAGAAGCTACTAAACCCAATCGGCAGTTTAGTATCAGCGAGTCCACAAAACCGAAATTGTGATACAGTAATCCTAAGAAAGCATGTGGAATGTATCACCTCTTACCCCATCTACTGTTAGCTCTTTAAAACATATCCTTTCAGCGTTAATGGTGTACTCTCTTCTTTTTGGACAACATGAATGATATATGGACCAAGACCACCAATGCACCCATGCCATCATCGCAATAACGTTTATTTACTGTGTGGAATGTAACTTTTGGACTAAAGAAAGGTGTTAACATTTTGCAATTGTGCTGGAAAAAAGTTATTTCTTAAGTAAATGTGTTTTAAATTCTATTCCCATCAAGCATTAGTCTCATGATTTGTTTCTAGCTTCTTCAGTTAAATAAACATACCATGATAATGGTAGCTGTGGAATTTCAGTAAGTTTATTATTAGACATTGTCATTTTGAAAGTCCCATCATTTCTCTGGCTGTCACTCAGAATGTCCTCTTTGAGTCACTCAAAATGAAAGTTTTAAGAAAAGCTTTAAGATTCAATTTCTAATAGTTTCAGTTATTGCCTAAATGTTGGGGAGATGAAAAATACTAAGGTAACTTAGACATTTAAAAATGAAATACCCATCAAAACCTGCATGGACATTGGGCAACCTGTTGGATACTGACTGGAGAGGCACAAGTTGCCAGGGAGCTAGCTCAGTTGGATAAGTGTTTGCTGTGAAAGCGATGACCTGAGTTAGGGTTTCATGCCATCTAAAAAGCCGGCGTGATGATGCATGTCTTTAAGCCTAGTGCTGAGGGAGCAGACAGGCATACCAGCTTGCCAGCCTGCAAGTGTAGCTGACTCGGTGAGCTTCAGGTGCAGTGAGAGACCTAGTCATAAAAAGTAAGGAAAGGTGGGTTCTCTATATTGACTGAGAACAACAAGCTCACCATTAGGGTCTTGGGAAGATCTGGTGTGGTCTAGGTCACCAGGCTATTAATCACATCTGCTCCCAGCTGCTGGCCAGATAAGCTTGCACATCCCTTCCTTGGAAGGACCAACCCTGTGTGTTTAGCCTTCCAGCTTTGCCTAGTGCTTCTCTGTGAGCACAAGGACCTCCATGCCTCCTACACTGAACTAAACTACATTTCTAAAATTCAAGTGTTTTTTAAATTATATGTGATAGTTCTAATTATGTTAAAAATTAAACAGTTTTTTTTCCCCTTCTCAATAACTAAATGATGTTAACATATAACCAGTTCATCAGTTAATCTGTCTTTCAGTGTAGACTTTACATTTCCCCAGAGGCTTCCTTATCAGGAATCCTGCCAAAGTACTTTTAGCTCTCTGCCGCTCTTGATAACCCTTTCTATCTGTAAGTACCTGGCTAGCTCCTTCTTCCCACATCACCTGGCTGGTGTCGGAACTTGATTTGCTCAAAAGAACAACTGTATGGTCCAGACGTTAAAGCCTGGCACACTTTCACCACTGTGATTAGAAATTTGCTAGTCCTGGCTGCCAAGTGGGCTACCGACCAGAGGATCTGAGCCTGTGAGGTGGGTGAACTGCTCTAGACAAGCCAGCCAGTTCAGCCAGCCTCCTGAAATTCTGGTTTACAAGGAAGTTCTAATGACATGGAAAAAAAATCTCTGGTGTTATTGGTAACTAATAGAAGATGTTTTAAAATAGAATTTTTATAAACTGTTAGACATTTTGTTTTTAGTAACATGGTGGACTCTATACAGCTGATCAGCTTTCTTACTGAAAACCCAGACTTTCGAGTGGAATAGAAATAAAATCTAAGCATTTTAGACATACTCAGGCTGCCAGGACCCTGAGGGATGTGGGAGCTTCAAAGCCAATGTCCACACGTGCTGAAGCTTCTGCCTGCAGGTGTTTCAGCCTTGGTTTTGATTGTCCCTATACTGTGCAAACCACAAAGCTCAGAGCCCACCTGAAGTGGAAATTCTCGAGAAAACGTTATTTTTTTTTTTCTTGAAGCCAGGACCCTTATAACTGCACTAAGGGTTAGAGGAAGCCCAGAGAAAACCTCCAGAGCTGCAGGACCCTTAAAACTGCACTAAGGGCCAGAGGAAGCCAGAGGAAAACCTGCAGAGTTGCAGGTTGCTATCAGTTCAAGCTGTGGCTAAAACAAAACTTTGAAGCTATAAAGTATAAAGTAGTCTCCAAAAAACACAGATGTAAACACCGTTTGGGAAGATGAACCAGAGCCACAAATAATTGCTCTAGGAACATGAACTCCTCAAGTTTAAATAAACCCACAAGGTAAACTAGCACCACAAATAACAGAGTCAGCCCACAGGGAAGATCAGGTTTGAAATTAGCACATGCGCAGCATAGTATGAAACATTTTCAAGTAAAAGGTTAAAATGTCTGTAGGAAACAAAGTGTCACATATTCGAAAGAAAAAACAGAACTTAGAGAAATAGTGTAAACAATAAAAGTCAATAAACAGGTTTAATAGATTAGGAGGACCTGAAATGAGAATTACTGGAATTCAGTACAAAAGACATATAGACTGTTGTACATCAAAGAATGGGAGTTCATGAAATAAGTCTAGCATATATCTAGAATATGAAATCCTCACTGTGTCATACCATAGGAAGATGGCAAAGACATTTTTCAACAATGTTTTTGTTGATTATTTTGGAATTTCATATCATGAACCCTGATCACACTTCGCATTCCTTCCAGGTCTATGCCTAATCCTGTGTCTACCCCGATCCCAGAATAAAAAGAAAACACTCATTCTTGTTGCCTATACCATCAGTGGAGCATGTTCAAACTTCCTGTCGCCACCCCCTTGAAGAAAACAGTTCTTCTACCAGAAACCAGCAGTTATAGAGAGCTAGACTTAACCTTATAATTTTCAGTAGTCATCTTTGATAGTGCCTGTCTAGGCTGTTACTTTTGGGTGGAGGCATTGTCAAAGAAGCTTTCATGTTTCTTTCTCAACTGTGTGTCTGTAGTCATTGATACTAAAAAACCACTAAAGTAGCTTTTTTGCTTTTTATAGTCAACAGAGCATGGATCATGGATTTCCATATAGTTCCTGCTGACAGCATGGGCCATGGACTTAAAGTGGCCCAAAGTCCAGATAACTTTCAAAGGAATATCAGAGTGCAGGACAAGTCCCTGAACAGTCCTGGTGACCCAGGTCATTGGCCCCTTTCTCCACTGTAGTTCTCAGAAGGTGCTTGGGATGCAAATCCTGAGACAAAGAGAGACTATTGAGAACAGCCTGGCTCCTGTTTCTGGTTTCTGTCCCTCCTCTTTCTATCTCTCCTAGTACAGGATGTCTATCAACATGGTAGCTCAACGTATCAGGTCACCCTCTGGGTGTGAATCCCACAGGGAGAACTCGCAGATACAGTGTGAGGCAGGCATATGTGGATAAGAGTCTACTCTGGTCAGCTCAGGACTCGTTAGGCTTGGACTAGCTGGTTATGAATCTTAGGCTGTTCATAACCCTTGATAATTACCAGTAGTAAATGGATTTAATATATTTGAGATTTCTGCCTCGCCAGACTCTTGCTGGTAGAAACTGTGATTCAATATCCAGATATTGTGGGCAGATATTGTGACCTCTGTGCAGTAAATTTTTCAGTTAGACCTTCGCTTCTCAACAGCAATAATGGAAACCAGAAATTATGTGAATGCCTGGAGAGAAAACTTCAACTTAAAATTTTGGACCAAGCAAATATATTTCAGGATTAATGAAAGACTCTATAGTTTCAGACATTATGTAAGAGTGTCATGTGGAGATTCTTAGTAAACTCAAGTATCTCCCCTACCCTGCTGTCTCTCTCAATACATGTTGAGTCTAAGGCATATTTGCCATATGAAGAATGTTTCATGTAATTAAAAATGAGAGTAATGTCCATAAGTGTGTGGGTTTATTTCTGGGTCTTCTCTTCTGTTCCATTGATCCACCATTCTGTTTCTATGCCAGTACCATGCAGTTTTTATAACTGTTGCTCTATAGTACAGCTTGAGATCAGGGATGGAGATACCTTCAGAAGATCTTTTATTGTAGAGGATTGTTTTAGCAATTCTCGGTTTCTTGTTATTCCATATGAAGTTGAGAATTTTTCTTTCCAGGCCTGTAAAGAATTGTGTTGGTAATTTGATGGGAATTGCATTGAATCTGTAGATTGCTTTTGGTAAGATGGCCATTTTTACTATGTTAATCCTGCCAAGCCATGAGCATGGGAGATCTTTCCATCTTCTCATATCTTCTTCTAATTCTTTCTTCAGAGACTTGAAATTTTTTTCATACAAGTCTTTGACTTGCTTGGTTAGGGTTACACCAAGGTACTTTATGTCATTTGTGGCTATTGTGAAGGGTGTTGTTTCTCTAATTTCTTCCTCAGCCCTTTTGTCCTTTGTATACAGGAGGGCTACTGATTCTTTTGAGTTAATTTTGTATCCGGCCACTTTGCTGAAGGTGTTTATCAACTGTAGGAGTTCCCTGGTAGAGTTTTTGGGGTCACTCACGTATACTATCATATCATCTGCAAATAGTGATAATTTGACTTCTTCCTTTCCCATCTGTATTCCCTTGATCTCCTTCAACTGTCTTATTGCTCTAGCAAGGACACCTGATTTTTGACAAAGATGCCAAAACCATACAATGGAAAAAAGTATCTTCAACAAATAGTGCTGGTCCAACTGGATGTCTACATGTAGAAAAATGAAAATAGATCCATACTTATCACCCTGCACAAAACTGAAGTCCAAGTGGATCAAAGACCTCAACATAAAACCAGACACATTAAATCGGCTAGAAAAAAAAGTGGGGAATACCCTAGAACTCATTGGTACAGGAGACAACTTCTTGAACAGAACACCAACAGCACAGGCTCTAAGAGCAACAATAAATAAATGGGACCTCATGAAACTGAAAAGCTTCGGTAAAGCAAAGGACACCGTCATCAAAACAAAGCAACTGCCTACAGATTGGGAAAGAATCATCACCAACCCTTTATCTGACAGAGGACTCATATCCAGTATATATAAAGAAGTAAAGAAGCTGAAAAGCAGCAAACCAAGTAATCCACTTAAAAAATGGGGAACAGAGCTAAACAGAGAATTCTCTGTAGAGGCATATCGAATGGCAGAGAAACAAAGAAATGTTCAACCTCATTAGACATTAGGGAAATGCAAATCAAAACAACCCTGAGATATCACCTTACACCCATGAGAATGGCGAAGATGAAAAACTCAAGTGACAACACATGCTGGAGAGGTTGTGGAAGGGGAACCCTTCTCCACTGCTGGTGAGAATGTAAACTTGTACAACCACTCTGGAAATCAATCTGGCCCTTTCTCA